ATAGCATTCTAGGGCTGGGAAGGTGGCGCTTGCCTTGCATGCATGAGGCCCTTGGGTTTGATTCCTCAGCACAACATAAGCAGAAAAAGCTGGAAGTGGTGCTGTGGCTCAAGTGGTAGAGGGCTAGCCTTGAGCTGAAGAGCTGAGTGACAGCATCCAGACCCCACAACTGACCAAAAAAAAAAAAAAAAGGATAGCATTTTACCACTTGAGCCAGTTACAATTCTGGCTTTTTCTGAGTAGTTTATAAGAGTCTCATGGAGGCTGGGTGCCAATGGCTTACACTTATAATGCCAGCTACTCAGGAGGCTCAGATCTAAGGATCACAGTTCAAAGCCTGCCCAGGCAGGAAAGTCTGTGAGACTCTTTGTTTTGCTAGTCCTGGGGCTTGAACTCAGGGCCACATCCAGCTCTTTCTGAGTAGTTTACTGGAGATAAGAGTCTCACTAACTTTATTGCCCAGGCTAGCTTCAAACCATGACCCTCAGATTGGAGCCTCCTGAGTAGCTAGGATTACAGGTATAAGCCACTGGCACCCAGCTTGTGAGACTCTTACTTCCAATTAGCCCCCAGGAAATGAGACATGGCGATGTTGCTCAAAGTGGTAGAATACTAGGCTTGAGCAAAAAGAGCTCAGGGATAGAGCCCCAGACCCTGAGTTCAAGCCCCACAACCTACCAAAAAAAAAAAAAAAAGTCTCCTGGACTGTCTACCATGTTGGCTTCAAACCATGATCCTCAGATCTCAGCCAGCAGGAGGTGGGCGTGACCCTAACCTAGCTAAGGTCAGGGTTTTTTGGTCAGTCATGGGCTTGAACTCTGGGCTTGAGCACTATCCCTGAGCTCTTCAGCTCTTGAGCCACAGCACCACTTCCAGTTTTCTGCTGGTTAACTGGAAATGAATCTCCCAAACGCTCATGTCGGGGCTGGCTTTGAACTGTGATCCTCAGATCTCAGCCTCCTGAGTAGCTGGGATCACAGGCATGAGCCACTACATGTGCCCAGTGGTCAGGTTATCTTATGGTGAATTCTTCCAAACATTTAAGAAACAATACCAGTTTTACCACGATGCATAGAGCAGACTGGACAACACACTGCCCAGCCTCTGCCCAAGGCATGCTGCATCACACCTACAAGGAAGGCAGACAGGAGGGAGGGCTGCGAACCCTTCGCTGCCAAGAGCTCTACACACAGTATTAACTGTCTAAAAATGTCGTGTGTGTATGTGTGTGTGTGTGTGTGTGCGTGTGCGCGTGCGCGTGTGTGGGCACGCGTGTGCAATGGCTCTACCACTAAGCTATCGTCCCAGCTCTGAATAATAGCAGTTTTAAATCCACCAGTGAACAAAAGGTACCACAACATGACCAAACAAGGTTTTTCCAAGAAAAATTAGCTTAATACTAGCAAATCAGTTTATGTAATTACCACAGTAGAAATGAAAAGGGAGCCAGGCGCTGGTGGCTCACGCCTGTAATCCTAGCTACTCAGGAGGCTGAGATCTGAGGATCACGGTTCAAAGCCAGCCCGAGCAGGAAAAACTGTGAGACTCCTATCTCCAATAAACCACCAGAAAACCGGAAGTGGCGCTGTAGCTCAAGTGGTAGAGTGCTCGCCTTGAGCTGAAGAGCTGAAGGACAGCGCCCAGGCCCAGAGTTCAAGCCCCACGACCAACAAAAAAAAAAAGCAATGAAAAGGGAAGCGTTGGGGCTGGGAAGGTGGCTCAGTGGTAATACGCTTGCCTTGCATGCCTGAGGCCCTGGGTTCAATTCCCCAGCACCACATAAGCAAAAAGAAAAAAGCCGGAAGTGGCGCTGTGGCTTAAGTGGTAGAGCACTAGCCTTGAGCTGAAGAGCTGAGGGACAGCGCCCAAGCCCAGAGTTCAGGCCCCATGACCGGACCCAAAAAAAAAAAAAGAAAAAAAAGAAAAGGGAAGCGTCACACAAGCGTTGGGCTGGGCTGGGCTGGGCTGGGCTGGGCTGGGCTGGGCTGGGCTGGGCTGGGTGGTGGAGGGCTTTCTCAGCATCACCCTGGGGCTCACACCTGTCATCCCAACTACTCAAGATACTGAGGTCTAAGGATCGGAGTTCGAAGCCAGCACATGCAGGAAAGCTGGTAAGACTCTATCTCCAATTAAGCCAGAAGTGAAGCTGTGGCTCAAGTAATGGAGTGCTAGCCTTTTTGTTGTTGTTGTTTGGGTTTTTTTTTTTTAACTGTATTTTTTTTGTCTTTTCTTTTTTGGTACTGGGGATCAAACCCAGGATGTTGCACTTGCTAGGCAAGCACTTTGCCACTGAGCTACATCCCAGCCCTGGAGTGCTAGCCTTAAGCAACAAAGCTCAGGGACAGCACCCAAGTCCTAAAGTCAAGGCCCAGGACCAGCAAAAAACAACAAGCTGGGCGCCAGTGGCTCACGCCTGCCATCCTAGCTACTAAGGAGGCTGAGATCTAAGGATCTCGGTTCAAAGCCAGCCCCGTCAGGAGAGTCCATGAGACTCTTATCTCCAATAAACCACTAGAAAACCAGAAGTGGCGCTGTAGCTCAAACGGTAGAGCACTCGCCTTGAGCTGAAGATCGCAGGGCTAGTGCCCAAGCCCAGAGTTGAAGCCCTACAACGGACAAAAACAAACAAACAAACAAAAAACACAATACCATTTCACTCTCACAGGACTGGTAAAAACTAAGTCAGACTTGCATTGGCAAGAATGTAGAGCAACAGGGACTCTTTTCCCCAACCCTAGGGGCTGGAGTTGGCACAACCACTCTGGGAAGCCACCAGGTAATAATGCCCCACACCCTCGAATCCTGCCACAAAGCAATCAAGGCAGACCCACCATCCCCAGGGAGAGACTAGACCAAAGGAGACAAGAATGTATACAGTGGAAGGTTGATAATTAGGCAAAAACAAAGACAGAAGCAAAGACAAAGTGTTGCCATTCCAGGGAATATTATGCAGCTGAGAATCTGGCACTCCAGAGGTTGAGGCAAAAGAACCACAAGTTTGAGGTCAGTACAGACTACATAGGTTAGACTGTCTCAAAGCAAACAACCAAACAACAAGAAAACATAGCCCAGTTCTACACTGGGTGCGCTAACCACTCCATTCCCTCCCCCGCCTCCTGTACCACACTCCTCTACCTCTCTAAGGTTAAAGACCAATCCTGCCTGGCGCCCGTGGCTCACGCCTGTAATTCTAGCTACTCAGGAGGCTGAGATCTGAGCATGGTCTGTGAGACTCTTATCTCCAATAAACCACTAGAAAACCGGAAGTGGCACTGTGGCTCAAGTGGTAGAGTGCTAGCCTTGAGCTGAAGACCTGAGGGACAGCACCCAAACCCAGAGTTCAAGCCCCACGACCAACCAAAAAGAAAGACTTTAGTCCTTCCTAGCCAAATACAATGGCCTGTACATATGGCTCCAGCTACTCTGAAGGCTGAGGCAGGAGGATCATCTGAGACAGGAGTTTGTGACAAAGCAGCAAGACTGTCTTAAAAAAAAAAAAAAAAAAAAAAAGCTAGGTGTGTTTGTGGCTCATGCTTCTAATACTAGCTACTCAAGGGGCTGAAATCTGAGGATCATGGTTCAAAGCCAGTCCAGGCAGGAAAGGCTGTGAGTCTAGTATCTCCAATTAACTACCAAAAAGCCAAATGGAGCTGTGACTTAAGTGGTAGAGTGCTAGCCTTGAGCTTTTAAAAAAAAAAAAAAAGCTTAGGGAGGGAGCTCAAGCCCTGCATGTGGCCCATATGCACATGTACAAACACACGTATACACATACACACACACACACACACACACACACACGGGGAGGGAAGAGGGAGGAGATGAGACTTTGGCCCTTGTTCAGTAGCCTCAGAGGCCGCTGAAGAGATGGAGAAAGGGCAGGCCATGTTTGCTTGCCTGCCTGCTGGGGGGCATTCGGTGTGGTGGGGTTGGCATCCAGGGAGAGCTGAGGGCCAGCACAAGAGTCATAAGGTGGATGACAGTGGTGATGTCGGGAGAGAGGCGCCAGGCAAATCCTGGGGTTCGGCTGAGCCTGTGAGCCACTCCTAAGCTTGGCTCTGAGGCAAACGCTGACCCTTGGATCTCTCGTGGACACAGTCTACCTGGGCGCTGGGGGTCTTGCATGTACGGAAGTCATGCTCAGCACTCAACTTCCACAGGGCTCAGCCAAGACCCTGAAGTCCTGGTCCTGCGCTGAGAGGACACACCCGCCATCCAGCGCCCTGCGATCCTACCAAGCTGAAGGAGCGACGGGCACTCCTGAAGGCTATCTGCATGAGCCCCGGTCCTCGCAGCTCTCCACGGCCCGTGGGGTCCCCTCAAAGGTCCACTGGCCGGGTCCGACGTCCCCGCGGGGAACGACCGCTCACCCCGGCGCTCCTGGGGAGAGGCGCGGCGGACCTGCAGGCCTCTCCCGGGGGTCTCTCCCCTCCGGGGTCTCCGGCCTCTCCTCTCTCTCCCCTGCAGCACAGGAACCAAGCCAGGAAGAAGTCACAGAAGTTTCCAGCTGGGGCAGCGAGGCGGGGGGGGGGGGGGGGGGGGGGGCACAGCGGGCAGAAGGCCGCGGGGCCGGGCGCGGAGAGCCCTTTGCAATGTCAAAATTAGCAGCTGCAGGCAAAGAGCACCAGGGGCCCGGGGCCGGGAGCGGTCTCCACCGGGGCCGGCGCGGGGCGCCCCAAACGGCGCGGTCCCAAGTCGGCGTCGGGAGGTGCAGGCCGCGGGGACTGGACACCGTCGGAAACGTCGGTGCCCGTACGAGAGGACGAGCGCCCACCCGAGGTCCACCGCACAGTCCCGCCCGGGAGGCGGGCGTCCGGGGGCCGGGCCGGCTGGCTGCGGGCCGGGGCGCCGGCAGGTGCGCGTGGACAAAGCGCGGGGGGCGCGGCGGGCGCGGGGGGCGCGGCGGGCGCGGGGGGCGCTGAGGCGCGGGGGCGCGGGGGCGCGGCGGGCGCGGCGGGGCGGGCGCGGGGGCGCTGGGGCGCGGCGGGCGCGGTGGGGCGTACCTGGGCACGCAGCTGGGGCTGGAGCCGTCCACCTCCCAGGTGGCGAACAGGTTCATGGGCACCGGCGTGTTGAGCGCGCCGGGCGCGCCGGGGAGGCCGAGGCGGCCCCGCTCGGCCATGGCGCCGGCCCCGCCGTCCCTCGGCGGCCTGGGGCTGCGCCGGGCCGCGGGAGCGCGGCGGGCGAGCGGGCGGGCCGGGCGCGCGGAGGGCGGCGGCGCGGTCACATGGTGCCGGCGGCCGGGAGAGCGTCGAGGAGGCCCGCGGGCGGCGTCCCGGCGGCTCCCGCGCCCCGCCCCTCACCGCGCAGCGCCGCGGATTGGCCGCTTGGGCTGGGCTCGCGCCCCACGCCCAATCACCGCCCGCCGGAAATGAGGTGCTGCGCGCGCCCCCCAGGGCGTCCCAGCTGCCGGCCGCGGGAGCGCGCGCTGGCGCGCCTGCGCGTAAGCCCCGCCCGGCGCGCGCCCCGCCCCCTGGGACTCCCGCCTGGGATGTGCGGGCCCCGAGACGTCGCGGGTCCCCGGGACGGCTCGAGGCCTCGGGGTCGGTGCGCTCGCCAGCTCCGCGCCCCTGCCCCCCGCGTCCGAGTCCCGAGGCTCCGGAACGCTCATTGTTCTGCGCCTCCCGGGCTCCGGCGGGGCCACCGGGCCTCCCGGGCCGGAGCCTCCACCCTCCCGCCTCGAGGCCCCGGCCGGCCCCGCGCCGCCGCCGCCGCCGCCGGCCCTTCGTTATTCCGCCGTGCTTTTTCCTCGAGGCGTCGGGGGCTGTCCCGGGCCCCCCTCCCGCGCGGGGCTCGCGGGCGGCCCGGCTCCGCGCTCGCCGCCCGAGGCCTGGGCCCCGGGGCGGCCGCGGATCCCCGCGGAGTTCGCCGCGTCCCGTGTCTGTCCCGCGGCTTTACGTAGCGCGCTTCTCCCGCTCCCGTCCGCGAAGTGTTATCTTTGAACCAGTCCCGGCCCAGGCTCGGCCGGCTCGGACCCTTTGCCCCGGCAGCGCTCCCGCCACGGCCCGGGTCGGCCGGAGGCAGCCTGTCTGTCTGTCCACGGCCGGCCGACCGGGTATTGCCTACACTGTGGTCCCGCCCCGGTCGGGTCTGACCCATCGGGCTAGTACCTAGAAGATGGGGTCGGTGCAGGGAGGGGACCGGCCCTGCGAGGACCAGGGCACAGACATCCACTGACCTCAGCACTTGGCACGCAGTGCTCAGGACAGGCCGGGTGCCACTGCAGGCAGATGAATGGGCTGCCTGACCGCGTGTCTGCGTGCACCAGGCCGTACAATAAGGGCCCAGGGAGGAAATGTGGGGTGACTTCGCCGTGCACACTGGGGCTTGACACTAGTGGCGCGGTGGAGCTGCGCCTCTTTGTACCAGGAACCCCGTGTGAGCCCGCAATGACATTGCATCCCATCTCCATTTTACAGAGGAGGAAACTGAGGTACACATGAGGCATGCTAATGGTGGTGGGTAGATGATTTCCAGGTGAGCAGATACTTTGAACCAGTCTTTTTTATCCTGGCCAAGACTTCTTTGCATGGTCCTGCTCTCTATTTGACAGTAACGTGGCTTTTCAGATTACTTTCCAGTGACTTTAAAGAAGGGCCTGTCTGGACACCTGGGGTGGCTGGGAAGGAGGCATGCAGAGGAGGGCCTGCAGAAAACCCCAGTCCCCAAACAATAGCCCGACAGCCCACAGCTTGCTAGCATGTATGTTTGAAGTGTTCGTAGTAAGTAAGCTTCTCAGACTTGCAAGTTGTCCGCAGGACTTGGGGCTTAAAGAAACCAAAGCCCAGCCGGGCGCTGGTGGCTCATGCCTGTAATCCTAGCTACTCAGGAGGCTGAGATCTGAGGATTGCGGTTCAAAGCCAGCCCGGGCAGGAAAGACCGTGAGACTCCTATCTCCAATAAACCACCAGAAAACCGGAAGTGGCGCTGTACCTCAAGTGGTAGAGCGCTCGCCTTGAGCTGAACAGCTGAGGGACAGCACGCAGGCCCAGAGTTCAAGCCCCACAACCGACACAAAAAAAAAAAAAAAAAAAGAAAGAAACCAAAGCCCTGTCCCCTGTGCAGTGAGATGAGGCAGAGGCTCTGGCTCCTTCCTGAAGGCCCACTGGCAGTCACTAGGTGGTCATCCTGTGGGAGGACTCACGCACTTTTGGCTAGCATTCAGGACTGTGGGCTCCTTGGAAACTATTCTTCTATCCAGCTGAGTAAAGGCAACACAAACCTGGAGTGGGGACGTGATGTAGTGTGGGACAGGCATGTTCCACCTATGAGAAGAGCTCCAATCCAGGCCCAAGGACCTTAGGCTGTCTCCAAAATGCAAGGACCATGGGGCTCACAACGTACCTCTGAACATGTTTAAGCTTGCTGGTGTGCACGTAGTCAGTGAAAGAGCACTGGCCAGCACTGCGCATCTGACTGCTTCACCTCGCAGGGAGGGCTAATGCACTCCTCTGCACTGCTACCTTCGAGAGCAGTTCCAGTCTGTCTAGCGTATCAGTGTCCAGGACCTCCCCCAAGGCCCCTTCACCATCTTACTTGGTTGCTGCAGTCCGTGGCTCTGTGGCTGTGGTGGCTGGAAGCAGCCCTATGTGAGACACATCCCTGACCAGCCCCTGCGGTGGCAGAGACAGAGCTATAGACACCTAGATGTGGCCTTGTGTGTCTGAGCCACATCACAGAGTCAGGGACAGAAGCTTCACACCCAGAAGATCCAACAGCCACATGTGCCGGAGACACAGCCTTCTTCAGGAAAAGGAATCGTGTCTAGGGCCCCAAGTAGCCTTCTGGTGCAGGGCAGGTGTATATGCAGGGGCCCTGGGTAGGAAGACGCTGCAGAGCACCAGACCCCAAGTCGTTTCAAAGCTGTGGATATGGTCCATGGGAGAGGAACAGGAATGTGGACATTTGGAACAAGGGCTACCCCTGGTTGGAGGACTGGCCCTGGGGCACCACCAAGAGACTAGAGATTGGTGCTGCCTGCTATACCTACCCCTTCGCATCTATCCACTTCATCCTGTCAGAACCTTTTGATGTCAAGTTTGTGTCTGGGTTTTTATATAATGCCCTGCTAGGTGGAACACACACTAAACCAGTGAGGCTAACAACTCTAAAGTCAGAAGTTCTAAAAGAACAGGAGCTACTATTGGAGACATTTCTGTGATCTCACAGATTTATGAAGTTGTTCATTCATTCATTTAATAGCTGATTATTAAGCCAGGCGTGGTGCTGTATGCCCTGTAATCTCAGCTACTCTGGAAGCAGAGGTAGGATTGTGGTCCAAGGCTGCCTTGGCAAGAGCTCTCAAGACCCTATCTGAAAAACAAACTAAAAAAGCAAAGATAGCCAGGTGCCAGTGGCTCACACCTGTAATTCCAGCTACTTAGAAGGCTAAGGTCTGAGAATCACAGTTCCAAGTCAGCCAGGGCAGGAACGTCCATTGTGAGACTCTTACCTCCAATTAACCACTAGAAAACTAAAAATGGCATTGTGCCTCAAAATGGTAGAGCATTAGCCTTGAGTGAAGAAGCTCAGGGACAGCTCCCAGGTCCTGAGTTCAAGCTCCACAACTGACAAAAAGAAAAAGAAGGCAATAGTACCTGGTGCATGGTTAAAATTGGTAGATTGGGGGCTGGGAAGGTGGCTCAGTGGTAGAGCGCTTGCCTTGCATGCATGAAGCCCTGGGTTCAATTCCTCAGCACCACATAAGCAAAAAGAAAAAAGCTGGAAAGTGGTGCCGTGGCTCAAGTGGTAGAGCGCTAGCCTTGAGCTGAAGAGCTGAGGGACAGCGCCCAGGCCCAGAGTTGAGGCCCCACAACCGGACCAAAAACAAAAAAAAAATTAAAAAATTGGTAGATTGCTTGCTAATAGGTGAGAGGCAGTGACTGATTATCGACCTAGTTTCAAACATCAGAAGGAACATACTCCCTTAGAGTGAAGTCATATAGGGGTCACTCAGTGCAGAAACAAAGTTCTTTCAGATATGCAGAGTGGGGAAGGGTAAGCAGGGCCAATAGTGTTTGAGTAAGACCTGAATGGCATCCTGGGCCAGCCACAGGAAAACAGCACTAGCCAGGGAGAATCACCTCTGACTGGCCCATGCTCTGGACAGTCCAGGGTCCCTAAATACCTACTGCCAGTATTGGGACTTGAACTCAAGGCGTGGGTGCTGTTCCTTAGCTTTTTGTGTTCAAGGCTCTGCCACTTGAGCCATATCTCTGTTTTTTGCTTTTGGGTGATTAATTGGGGATAAGTCTCATGATGTTCTTGTCTGGGCTGGCTTCAAACCACAATCCTCATATCTCAGCCTCCAAGTAGCTAGGATTACAGGCATGAGCCACTGGTACCAAGACCTACCTACTTTTTTTTTTTTTTTTTGCCAGGCCTGAGGCTTGAACTCAGGGCCTGGGCACTGTCCCTTAGCTTCTTTTACTCAGGCTAGCATTCTACCACTTGAGCCACAGCATCACTTCTGGCAGTTTCTGTTTATGTGGTACTGAGAAATTGAACCCAGGGCATCATGCATGCTAGACAAGCATTCTACCACTAAGCCACATTCCCAGGCCAGCCCTACTTTTTTTTTTTTTTTTTTCCGGTCAGTCGTGGGGCTTGAACTCTGGGCCTGGACGCTGTCCCTCAGCTCTTCAGCTCAAGACTAGCGCTCTACCACTTGAGCCACAGCACCATTTCGGGCTTTTTTCTTTTTGCTTGTGTGGTGCTGAGGAATCGAACCCAGGGCTTCATGCATGCAAGGCAAGCGCTCTACCACTGAGCCACCTTCCCAGCCCCAGCCCTACTTTTTTAAAGGTACATTTCACTATGTAACCCAGGCTGGTCTTGATCTCACAATCCTGCTTGTGTCTGCTATGTTCTGGTGTTTCAAGGGTGCACTTATACTTCTGGCTTCCGTGGTGTTTTTCCTATGTGCTTTTGAAGCTTGGATTGAGGTATAAATATCACATCTGATACTTGCAAATGCCATGAGCAGCTACCCAGATGTGAAGTGTACGCTGAGATCACTGCAGTGACTCTGGAACACACTGATGAGAACATGCCAAGACCGGCCACTCAGACCTCTACTTCCCAGCACGGAGACCATGCACACAGTGAGCATTAAATGCTCAATGACAGCT